CTTTCAGCCGTGGGGGCGTTATATTGTGACGGTCAATCCCACTATTCGTCGGTAAAAGAGTAGCCCCAAAACAGTACTGAGCCTTTGTATCGAAGTGTAACATCTGATGTAGGCCTGAGGCCGAAAAGCTATTATTTTATTTTTACATGCAGATTATATTTCCAATTTGATAGTCTTATAGTAATTTTCAATTTTGTCTTTAAAAATTTATAACATTTTTAATGTTCTTAACACTAACTTCCTTTCCTTTACAGTTTTCACTGAATAAATAATAATTGTTTTGCTCGGTTGAATTTTAAATAATTAGAAAATATTATAAAATTGTGTTGTAAGTTCCAACACTAGTAGTCCAAGATCGTAGGCCTTTCCTAGCTGTCTTACAAGTCCTTTTATTGGATATATATACCAAACCATTCTATTTTTAAACTGTTACCATTACAATAAAAATTAATTAAACCTAAAGAATGATCAAACTCTAACCTCACAAGAAAACACTCTTTGTATGATTTCATACTCTTCATTTGATAGCCAATAATAAAGTTTACTAAAATTTAACAAACTTCTTATAATCCAAGGTTTAATCTGTTAGATTAATTTTCTCTCTCTCTAAATATCTAAAATGGTTACATTATTACACACTTCATTGTTTTTCGGCTTCCCTTTTATTATCCTATAGCAATATGAAATATAAGTTTAATGATCTTGTTAATCACTAATAACAGGCAATTGGCCTTTAGATTTAGTTCTACCAATGCTCTTTTATTTTGTTTCAGTTTTGTTTTCTTCAAGAAAAAGGAAAACTCTTTTTTGCATCATGAATATCACATATGAGACTCGAGTTGTTGTGTTTTTTTTTCATCTCTATTTTATCTTTAATTTAATACACTTTCCCTGCTTTAGAAAATTTCCATTGCAATCTATTTTTAATCAAATTGCGCATTTTATACTATGATTATTCCTACGCATTAAAAATATTTTTCCAAATCGTGTGCCCTGCGTTTATCATTTTCGTTTGTGCAAGAAAATGTCAAAGTTTTTATTTTATTATCCAATTAAAATCTCATTTTAATCGTTCTTAAACTTCTAGTCTTAAAGGTATACATTTTAAATTAAATATTATATTGGATTTGCCGATACATTATTTCACAACATATATAGACGTAGACAAAACTATCACAAACTTGTCTGATAGAGAAAGAAACTACAAAACATCAGGACGGAAACATGACAATCACAAACCTGTTTGATAGAGAAAGAAACTACAAAGCATCAGGACGGAAACATGACAATCACAAACCTGTTTGATAGAGAAAGAAACTACAAAGCATCAGGACGGAAACATGACAATCACAAACCTGTTTGATAGAGCAAGAAACTACAAAGCATCAGGATGGAGACATGACAATCACAAACCTGTCTGATAGAGAAAGAAACTACAAAGCATCAGGATGGAGACATGACAATCACAAACCTGTTTGATAGCGCAAGAAACTACAAAGCATCAGGACGGAAACATAACAATAATACACCTGTCTTATAGAAACGAAACTACAAAACATCAGAGCAGAGATAGAACAATCACAAACCTGTCTAATAGAAACGAAACTACAAAACATCAGAGCAGAGATAGAACAATCACAAACCTGTCTGATAGGAAAAAAAACTACAAATCATCAGAGCAGATATAAAGCAATTACAAACTTGTCTGATAGAGAAAGAAACTACAAAACATCAGGACGGAAACATGACAATCACAAACCTGTTTGATAGCGCAAGAAACTACAAAGCATCAGGACGGAAACATAGCAATAATACACCTGTCTTATAGAAACGAAACTACAAAACATCAGAGCAGAGATAGAACAATCACAAACCTGTCTAATAGAAACGAAACTACAAAACATCAGAGCAGAGATAGAACAATCACACCTGTCTAATAGAAACGAACTACGAAACATCAGAGCAGAGATAGAACAATCATAAACCTGTCTGATAAAAAAGAAACTACAAAGCACTGGAACGGAAATATAACAATCACAAACCTATCTGATAGATAAAGAAACGATTATTTCATTACCGGCTTCAGTTTATTTTTTTCGTTAAATCTTTGAAGTATAAATCCTTAAAAAACGATACTAACTGTCAACGTTTTATAACTTACTTAATAAATTACTTTAATTAATATTATCCACCCTATTGCTTGCGTATAATAATAGACATGTTTTGATGTTCCCTTATTTATTCCAGATCTCTAAATTTCTCTAAGATTATACCTAGCACTTTGCCCAAACATTTCTCATTTTTAATTTTTCAACGACCCCTACAAATGAACGGTAACTAGAAAAAAGATATCAAAGTATATGTATCAAATCTTTATCTTTCTCTAGATTTATTTGGTCCAAATTTTTAAAAACTCGGTTTCTGCTGCCTGATCTGTTTGTATTGCTAATATATTGAATTAAAAAAAACAAAAAAAAACGTTAACTCCACAATCTTCATTTCAGTAACATTTAAGTCATGTTCACGATCTGATTCTGTATTCATAATCCTTCTACATCATTGATTTCCCATTTGAGCTGACATCTTACCATACAGTACATTCACTCAGTGTCAACCTTATTTAACTACGTTTTCATCTGACTGAAGTGTATTTGGGTTTCATACGCTCCAGTGTTCTTTTGCATTATCGAAGTCGTTCAGGCAGATGCACTTAGTCGTTTATTTTAATTTTTTACTTGCTCCTCATGAACATTCTTAAAGTGTGCACTTAATTACCACGTTAGATGTAATTACATGTTGTCGTATTACATTTCGTTATAAACGATACTGCACGCCCTTCATTAACCATGCAACATTTCAGACAAAGCATGAATTTAAGTGTCCTTACTACACCACAATACTTGTACCTTTCAATATAAATGATAGAAGCCCTTGGGATTGGCTGAGCTTAGCTACACATACCACCAGGATTGCTTGGCTTTAGTTGTACACAGACTTGGGGGTTTTAAGACTTAACTGTTAATAACTTAGAAAATGAAAAATAATTTTTTGTTGTAAACAATGACTCATATCATTCTGTTATGTCATATAGTATTTCTCTGTTTTTTAAGTTCCCACCCCTTTTTATTTATTTTTTTGACAAACAGTTTAAATGCCAATAACACTTTCTATATATGTAAAGTCTCTACATATCCCCATATTTCTTGTTCTAACAAAAGCTTTATGTTTTCTTATATCTCACGTTCCAATGCGAATTTGCTTTAATCATCATTCTATGTTCCAATGAAAACTGTGTTTTTCCCTATAATTCATGTTCCAATAGATCTGTATTTCTGTAAATCACACTGTTAACAAAATTTATTTTGTGTTCCATATATTTTATTTTCCAAATAAAAAAATGAAATTTCTCTGTATTCCATGTTAGAACAAAATCTTTCATGTGGAAATATTTTACGTATATATTCAATAATCTAAATGATAAATCTTAATCATACAAAAGAAATTGTCCCCAGGTGGGACAACGGTAAGTCTATGGACTTACTATGCTAGAATCCGGAATTCGATTCCCCGCGGTGGACACAGCAGATAGCCCAATGTGGCTTTGCTCTAAAAATCAAACAAAAGAAAGTTTTCGAGTTCTCATAAATGATGCTCAAGTAGAAACAGTTTTTTTTTTCTTGTTTGTATAATATTTTGTGACTTAAGTTATAGAATCGTTTTTACTTTTTGTGTTACTGATTTACTAAAATCTGATTCTCAACAGGTTTTATTTTAAATCACAAACGTGATACCGAGAACTGGATTAAGACACGCCTTCCTGATGATTCTCGGATGTACACCTTCTACGGACTACAATGTGGTACACGTTTTGAATTCTTCATTCTTGCCTTCAACGATATAGGAGAAAGTTTCCCTAGTAACACCATTCAGGTGAAAACCAGGGGTGCAGGTAGTTATTTCCACGAATATTCGTTTAAAATAAATTATTATGTGTTGCCTTAGTGAATGTGTAGATATGACAGAGTTCATTAATATTAGCATTATATATACACCTGGAAAAAAGTTAAGCACCCCCGTGTTTTTTTCAAGTGATTCAGATTCGACGTTCTTGTGACTGATTATAAATTACCATTCAATCTAAATGTGTTTATCAAATGAAATTATGCATTATTGG